GTCACCCTTCAACACCCCCCCCCATGCTGGCCTAGTCACCCCTCACTGCCCCCCTCTACCTGCCTGTTCGCCCCTCACTGGCCACCCTGCTGGCCTGGTTGCTGCCAACTATGCCCCCTTCCAGCCTGGTCAAATGTATGTTTGTTGAGTAAGAGAGTGATTATAAAGCTGTAAGTTGCCTGAGACAAGCAAAGTATAGTAACAGGTACCCACCATTATAGTATACAGAGTATTTTCACTGCCCTAAAAAGTCGCCTGTGCTGCACCTATTCATCCCTCTCACCCGCTCCCCAGAGCCCCTGGCAACCACTGATATTGTTACTGTCTATAGTTTTGGCTTTTTCAGAATGTCATATAGTTGGAATCATACAGCATGTAGCCCTTTCAGACTGGTTTCTTTCACTTAGTCATATGCACTTAAGATTCCTCTATGTCTTCTCATGGCTTGATAGCACATCTCTTTTTTGTGCCAAAAACATTGTCGTTTTTGGCAATTATTAATAAAGCTGCTAGAAATAAAAATTAAAAAAAGAATCTGTCAGTGTGAATCCTCATGCTTTGGAGATATTGTCCTCTTGCCCTTACCTAGTGCTTTTAAATTTGATGACTCTAGTTCAAGATTATGTGCTAGTTAGAGAGCAGAATTTAATGTGTCCCTATAGGATTCCCTAATGTTAAAAGATGTTTCTTATTCACGTTGTCAAATGGGATCAGACGGCTTTAAAAATCACTTCTGTGCAGTGGGAGAGCTAGTGGGCTGCCTGGAATTCTTGAGGAATAGTTCCAACTGTGCAAGAGTAAGTAGGCTTCTGTGGGCCACTGGCAATATCGAAATTATCCAGAGAAGACTAACAGGCCACCTCCTATGGAGATCTAACTTGGGACATTCCTGACCTTGATGTCCAAAGGTCTTAAACCAGCACTCGAACAAAAGATTACATTTTAGCCGGGATTTTTAGGCTTTGCTCAGCCTCTGGAGCAGCCACATGAGGAGGCAAATCTCTGAGTGTACATTGGGAGTCCTGCCAACAGCAGCTGCCTTCCCCATCCAGCTGTTCAACCGCAGGGATTGTTTTTCTTCAGTGGAGGGAGAAGTAGGTTCTAACACTCCCCATCTGTCTGCACATTGAAAGACTTTTCTTTCAATATGGCCTATCTTGTCTCTGTCCCTGTACTGTTTTTCCCTCACTTCATCCTCCTGTCCTGACTGCTGCCACCGAATATACAATCAGCCCGATGTTCGTTCACTTATCATGCTTACACCTATTTGCGGCCTTGAATCAGGGCTCCCAAATATATATATGGTCTTGTCTTGGTCTTGGTTCAGCTGTAACCTCGTCAAAATGCACTCTTTGCAGTGGGTAGGACTTGTGGGATCTTAAGAGTACAGATTTCTGCTTATTTGCCTCACTTCCTTTCAGCAGTAGTTGGCCACATACCTAAGCTGAGGAAAGGAAGTTATAAAAATGGGTGTGATGTCAGTGCTTTTATTTTGGGGGTTTGTGGGGGGTCTTCACTTGCTCAATTGCTGGTGCTTGAAATGTCCTGAGTTAGGGGGAGAAAAAATCCTTTTCTTATCTTTGATATAGGTAAGACTTAAAATACACCCTCACCCCTCCCCACCCCATGGTGTGATAACACTTAAACTAATGCACAGGAACCTGTAAGGGACTTCTACCAGGTTTTTTTCAGAGAACAGTTTTGATGATGGGTTGTATATGGGGGATCGTAAAGGGGTGGGGCGGGGAAGGCTATAAGAAGGGATAATCCAGCTTTATCAAATTTTGCCTGTTGAACAGATTCACTTCTGGCTGTCTCTCCAAGGCTGTGGCGAAGTATACTTGGTTAGGACAGGTTCCTGACTCTGCACACATCTCATACAGTCTTTCTTTTTTCACTCTCTTGACAACATAAAATAAAGAGTGATCTATTTATTGATAATGCAGTGTTGGGGTACAGAAATCAGGCCACGCCATGATCTAACACCAACCAAAGCAACAGTATAACAACTGTAAGAGCCCAAGCCTGAAATGGCATGTTAAGTGCTTTTCCTGTGCTATTTTATTTCATCTCCACAAGAACCCGCCAAAGTAAGTGCAAGTGTTATGCTCTTTTACAGACGCGGGAACTGAAGGCCACAGACAGTAATTAACTTGCTGAGACAACATAGCTAGTAGATGGAAGAGCCAGTCCTCAAACCAAGCCTGTGTGATTCTAGGCTGTGCTCCATAACCACTGTCCCATGTTGCCTCTCCATTTCAAAGTATGAGACTGCGTAGCATTCTGAGTTCACCTTGTTTTAGAAAGTATGTTGTTTTTTTCTATTTTTAGTTTTGGTTTAATGAATTTATTGCTGTAACATTGGTTAATAAAATTATTTAGGTTTCAGGTGTACAGCTTCATCATACATCATCTGTATATTGTATGGTGTGTTTACCACCCCAAGTCAAGTCTCCCTGCATCACCATTTATCTACCCCTTTCCCTCTGGTAATCAACATACTGTTGTCTGTGTCTATGAGTTTTATTTTGTTTTATTAATCCCTTCACCTTTTTCACCCAGCACCCGCCAACATGTTCTCCTCTAACATGTCAGTCTGTTTTCTGCATCTATGAGTCTGTTTCTATTTTGTTAGTTCCTTTTTTTCATTAGATTCTATATATGAGTGAAATCATATGGGACTAGTCTTTCTCTGACTGGCTTATTTCACTTAGTATAATAGTCTCCAGGTCCATCCATGCTGTTGCAAAAGGTAAGATTTCCTTCTTTTTATGGCCCAGTAGTATTCCATTGTGTAAATGTACCAGTTTCCTTATCCACTCATCTACTGATGGACACTTGGGCTGCTTCCAAATCTTGACTATTGTTAAAAAAAAAAAAACACCTGTAATGAACATAGGGGTGCATATATTCTTTTGAATTAATGTTTCAGGTTTCTTCAGATATATTCCCAGAAGTGAAATCGCTGGGTCATAAGGCAGTTCTATTTTTAGTTTTTTGAGGTAGCTTCATATTGCTTTCCACAGTGGCTATACCAATCTGCATTTTCTTCACATCCTTGCAAACACTTATTTGTTGTTTTTATTGATGATAGCCACTCTGACAGGTGTGAGGTGATATCTCCTTGTGGATTTAATTTGTATTTCTCTGATGACTAGAGGCATTGAGCATCTTTTCATATGATGTTGGCCATCTGAATGTCCT